CCTGCTTTTGAATTGTTAAATTTAACACTGGGGCATTTTAAACAATTTATTCATGAATTTTATCCATGAAAGACTGAAAATAAACAGAATAAATTAAAGATAACTTCAAATATTTGTAACAAAGAATAATGATACTTCTGGATAATTAGTGATAATAAGGAAAACAATCCTTAAATGCTTTCTCAGTCAGAGTGTATTAAGAATGATTTTTCTTGATAATTAGTGAAAATAAGAAATGTCCTTCTGAAATTTTTGCTTGGTTTGTATTGACAGTATTCAGTTCTTTCACTGGTCGGGAATTGCTTCAAATTTCAGGCTCAAATACAAACTATATCTGCAGTTAATTGCATAAAGAAAATGAAGTAACAGTATAATAGCTTGCTTGCCACACTAAACCTATTGTAAAATTGTATACAATAAAAACATGCAATCCTTTGTCTACTAAACAATTCACGTGATTTTATAATGTGATTTTTATCATCGCTACATAAATTCTTTATTACAAATTATGACTAGCTTCTGTCTCAAACAATACCCCTCCACAGTGAGTCATATGTAGAAATATTCCCAGAGAAGGACCTCAGAATTCAGTGGAAAATTTTTGAATATACCTAAAATACATAGTTGTTTTTAAGCTGCCATAAAAATGAGTGTTACTGTTTCAGACTTTACATAAGTATATCTTAGTTCGTCCTTCATATTCATCCTAAATATTCGTCCTTCAGTATTAATTTGTTAATAATACCTTATTTTACCAGGTGATATGCCTCAGCTGGTCAGAGGAATGAAGCTTTTAAACCAAGCTGATCCATGTGTTCAAGTTTTAATCCAGGAGACAGGAGAGCATGTGCTAGTAACAGCAGGAGAAGTTCATCTTCAGCGTTGCTTGGATGACCTGAAAGAAAGGTTAGACGGGCGAGGAGGAAGAAATACTTCTAAATCAGTAGCTTTCTGTTTTTTTTTTGTCGTTGTTCTTTTCTCTTGGTCAGGTGAATGTACGTCTTTGATTTTTCGTCTGGTAAAGTAGAAGACTTGTCCACCAGTGCTTTTTGCCTTGGATCATAAATATATATTTTTTAGTTAAAAAATTACTTGCAGATGGCAGAAGCCACAAGCTTCCCATTTCCAGCTTGTATCTGTTCTGGGCCAATTATCTGTATGGAAATCAAACTGTAGTAGATTCCAGATTTTACTTAATGTAACTTACTTTGTACAAACAGAAATTGCAAGGGGAAACCAGTCTGACAACTTAACCCGCTAAAGTTAGAAATCAACAAGACCAGCATTGTTTTTGCACACTTTATTCCTTCTTCTCGTTACATCCTTTCCTATAACTTCTGGTATGTGTTCTGTTTGCTTAGAAGTTTCTGTAATACTTCTGCCCACACACTTTTGTTCAACTTTCTCTAAAGCAAAACCCAGACCTGGTGAGGAATACTTGTAGGTCTGTATTATGCCCATATCCATCCCAGTTGATATCAAAAACAACTCTCAGGTGAGTTAGAATGCTTCACTTTTGTACCCTAACTTATATATCTCAAGGAAATGTTGGCAGTGTTCTAAAATACCAGAGCACATAGATATTCTGTGCTGGTAGTTAGTAGAGCAAGTAGAAAGAAGTGCCTGGGAGTACAGAAAAGCAGGACTCCCACCTTCGACCCCCTTGAAGCTGCTGGATGGTTCATTGATGCATGAGCCCCAGGAGGAGTAGGGAGCTCATGTTCCTCCTGGCCCTGTCTGAAGACTTATCACATTTTAAGTTAAATCTTAAGTGCTGATTTTATCTTAGCTTTTCAAATGTGTATTTAGAGAATTATGTTAACATAGTACTGTCTGTCAAAGATGCAGAAAAGTTATAGATACAAAAGATCAGAATCTTAAAAACTCACCCGTGTTTATTTAAAGGAATATTGCTGCTTCTGCTTAATTTCCTTGGATGTGTTTTGATTTTTTTTCTTCATAATTAACTCTTGCAGAATAGAATAATAAATTAGACCATTGGGAAGATGCAGTGTGATGCAATGTTTCAATATTTTATTCTCTTGGTCTTACAGCAGAAATTCTCTAGAGTTCTCCATCCAAAACATTAAAATATCTATATAAGGGAGACATCACTTTCTGTTTTAAAGCAGCTATAATAGTGGTTCTCAAGATAAAGTGTAAAATCATTTCTGTTAATTTAATGCTGGGTGCCAGAATCAAGCAGTACTTCGCTACCATTTCCTCTATAATAACCCTTCTGGCAGTTTTTTTTTTCTTTTTCAGAAGCAAGAAACACAATCCTGATTTGTTGTTTTGTCTTGTCTTTCTTTCACTTTTCTTGGAATGTAGACTAATAGCTTTTTAAATACCTATTTCAAAGCAATTTTCAGTGAATTGTTCCTCATGTGAAGGCTTAGTGCAAAGTTTAATAATAAGACTTTATAGATACCAACATTACAAATCATAAATAGGCAGAGATAATATTAAGTGTACATCACTCCAGCTTATGAAATACTTGGAGTAAGTTGCTCTAGGTCTTCTAAGTCTATACAGTTGACGCTACAAAAAACAGTGCAGTTGGTTGTTTCTCAAGGCTCAAGTGATTTGGATCAAAACTGATCATTTACTTGGAGCTCTGTTTTCTTGGATGACAACAGCTGTGATTTCAGGTGGCACCAGCTGTGGTTGTTTTGTGCAGGCAGCTAATCAGTTACTAGGTTTCAGCTGTAGGCACTGCTGACTGGAACTGATTCTAGGGACTGGCTACAGACTGGTAGTTATTCCAAAACTGATTACAGGTAAGTGTTTTATTTTGGGAATGAGGTAGAGCTGAAATACAAGAGTGCTACTAGCTTCACAAAGGTCCTTGCAAGTCGTGTAAATAATTCTTCTGCAAGTTTTAGGTGATCTAACATGACTTCATTAACTTGGCTTTGAATATAAACTATGCAGACATTCTTTTAAGATGAAGCTCTTAGTGCTTTTCCTTTGCAGGTATCAGTTATATATCCTTACACAAAAATTAAATTTCTATTTGTATAATAGTTCTGCATAAACATGTGGTGTCAAAAATATTGTATAAATAAAGGTAAATATAAAGGTAAATGAAATATTGCCTGCTAAGCTCTACTCAATGTCAAACATTATTTTTATACTTTCGTATCATAATATGCCAACAACCATTCCCCATTGGTCTGGTGCTGATTGTTTTCTGTATAGCTTATTGTACCACGGGTTGTAATTTTAGCAGTAAGATGGATGATAATCAGTAGGACTTTATATTATATAGCTAGAAAAAGTTGTTATACATTTCTGAAAACACAGGATTACCATTTTACCAGTGGTGTGAACATTTTCTTTCCAACCAAGGTGTTTCTAAGGAGATTTTGCTATGAGACTCTAATTTTTCCCTTAGAGATGAGGTAAAAAAACGCTATTTTTGCTGATCTGGCAGAAGGCTTTCATTGTTCCTCTGTCTTTAAGTGAGTTAGGTCCTGTATGTATATGAACGTGGAGCTGATCATGTGCTTAATAAACATCCATTTCAACAGGAGGGTTGCCATCATGCCATTGGCATTTTGAGCTTTTGTGATTATACTAAATAACTAAAATACATTACTTAAAGCAGGTGGTCTTTTATGAATTGAGTCTTTTTTTTAAGACTCTAAGCAGCTTGTAAATCTGGAATATTTTGGCTGGCCAGTTAAAAAACATATTGATGCTTACAGAGGAGAAGCTTTTACTCTTGCAGCATTTTAATGACTAGTATTTTTTTTTCTTATAAAATATCCTTTAATGTGTAGAGAAAGTTTTCCTGCAGAGTGCTAATATCAAGAAAATTAATGAATGAAAATGCAATCTAAAAAAAATGTTTAATAGCATTGCTGTGAAAATCTTATCAGCTACCTAATAATCACATTTTATTGCTATTGTGAATGTCTTGCAGAGATGCTATGACATTGTTGAAACTTCTGTAATTCTACCTGTTCTTATTGTGGCCTTTGTTCTATATGTGTGTACTTTGTTCTACACATTTTTACTTTTAAGGCAGTTCTTCATCATTATATAAAGTAATTCACATCAATTCAGTGTAAAGGGTGAAAGCTAAGGCCTTTTGTATTGCAACCTAAGAGCTTAAAGTTGCTGATACTCTTGCTAAATCAGGATATAAATGGTGTGGAAGAAGTCAATCAGTAATTTCACTAGTTCTTATGTATCAAGGACAGACCAGAATCTTAACCCACTATTTCATAATATGTCTTGCTTTGTACTTTCAAAGTACTTTCAGAGACTCTTCAAAGGCAAAGACTGAAATTACCTTTTCTTTCTTAAACCTGAATCTTTTTTTTTGGACTATCTGGTGTGTGTGTGTTTTTTTTTTTTCCCCCCATTATGAAATGTTATTATCTTTTGGTATCTGGTTATCTAAATTATTCTAACAATTTTTTTAAAAAAATTCTTAGTGATCCTAAATAGTAGCTTTTTCATATAGAATTGATTTTTTTCCTGTAGTTAATGCTGCATTTGCTTCCATTTCTCCCATAATTTCTTGTGTTTATGTTTTAGTCTTATGTGAAGTTGTACTTACCCAAGCAATTAAAAATAAAACATTACAGCTACTGTACAATTCAAAGCTACTTGAGGTATACTAGGGGGAGTATTTTGTCTTAAAGCAGAGGAAAAAATGCTACTAATGACATGTCTGTGCGTGAAACTAGTCAAGAAGGCCTATTTATTTGATTTTTAACTGCTTGTGTGTGATGCATGTGTGGACAGTTCTGTTAATCTGACATAAATCTTTGAAGAATGTGTATGTGGTAATACTTAGGAATAGCTATTACACTTAAAAGTCATTCTCTTCCCCAATCCAGCTTTTTAAACGTAGATAGTTGTTGACTTCTCACTTCAGAATAATGTGTCGTATATTTACATTTTTAACAGATCACAGTTGTGACTGATACTTTAGGTTTGTAAGGCCACAGTGACTAAGGCTTCCATTGGCTAATCACAATATAAATCCACCAAAGACATTGCCTTTCATTAGTCCTTGTGCTCGCATGCTGCTGTACTGGTTTCATGTACACAGGCAGCACAATATTGTGCCTGTTCAGTGGCCTGATTTGAATCCGATGTGCTAGAAGTATGGAGGAAAAAGGGATGTGTCAACTTTCTGAAATAACTGTAGAGAGTAATTATCTGAGCACCAAATGTTTTAAAACTGTGCCTCCATGCTTATTTGCAGAAATCTCTTTGGCTTACCCCATGCTTCATGTTTTCAGAGCATCTCACTGTAACAAAACCTCTCCTGGTTCAGATCAGCTAGTTCAGATCTAGGTCACTATCTTGTCTCCATCAGTGTGGCCTAAAGCAGCTGTCAGGAGAAGAGTGCAAACAACGTAAGCATATGTAAAACCTCTGCTACTGCTTTGCCAGGCCTTGATCGTGTTCAGTCCAGGGAATTTTTGAAACCTGTTGTGGTTTGCTTATCAGTTAATTGCTATCAACTTTTCCTATGCCACTCATCATTTTGTTGAGTTCTGTCACATCCTTGAGCATCTGAAGACTTCTTGTACTGTCGTATCTTTCATCATCCTTATTCTTGATGTTTTGAATTCTATTATATCCTTTTGAGAGAACAAGAACAGCATATAATATTCAAGATATGGGCAAACCACTGGTTTATACAGTGGTATAATGATGTTTCTTCCTCTCCCCTCCCACCTTCTGTTCCTTTCCAAATCTTTCTGAAGACATAAGAATCCCTTTGTTGAATTACATTACCTTTTTAAGAGCTTGTGAGTTTTAAACTAATTATTTAATTTTAAACTAATTCTAAATCTCTATTTTTTAGGTTTGCAAAGATAGAGATTAGTGTATCGGAACCTATTATTCCTTTCCGAGAGACAATAACAAGACCTCCGAAAGTGGATATGGTGAATGAAGAAATAGGAAAACAGCAGAAAGTTGCAGTGATTCACCAAACAAAAGAGGACCAGAGTAAAATCCCTGAAGGAGTTGAGGTTGACTCAGATGGGCTCGTTACAATATCTACTCCAAATAAACATGCTACTCTCAGTGTAAGAGCAATGCCGCTTCCTGAGGAGGTAACTCGACTTCTCGAAGAAAACAGTGACTTAATTCGAACTATGGAGCAACTCAATACATCTCTGAATGAAGATAAAAAAACTCAGGAGATAAATCAGAAGACTATTGATAGGATCAAGGAATTTAAACAAAAGCTAGAGCAAAGTCTGCAGGGAAGAAGGTGGAGAAATGCTGTTGATCAGATCTGGTCATTTGGTCCACGGAAGTGTGGACCTAATATTTTATTATACAAATTTGAAGGTTATAAAAAGTCTGTGTGGCAGTGTCTTGAGAATACTGTGAAAGAAACAAGTAAATACAGAGATTTTGACAACAGCATAGTAAGTGGATTTCAGCTGGCTACACTTTCTGGTCCCATGTGTGAAGAACCTCTCATGGGTGTTTGTTTTATAGTGGAAAAATGGGAAATGAGCAAAGTTGGAGAGATATTGTCAGCGAGTAGGCAAGATTCAGGGGAATGTGATGCCCTAGAACATGAACAAAATAAAGATACTGAAGATAGTCATGTGGCTGAAGCTTGTGGAGAAGATAAACACCAAGGCAGCAATCCAAGTGTTGCAAGATCACCTGAGAAAACTAATAAACCCAAGGCAGAAGCTTTACTTGCAGATTGTTATGGCCCCTTTTCTGGGCAACTGATTGCCACCATGAAAGAAGCTTGTCGCTACGCTTTGCAGGCAAAGCCACAGAGGCTTATGGCAGCAATGTACACGTGTGAAATTATGGCTACCGCAGAAGTTTTAGGTAAGATGGACAAAATAAGCTTGTGTCAAGAACTTGCTTTCCAAGTTAAAACATGAGATTTTATAAATTAGACTGGATCAAAAAGTATAATTTTATTAAAATTTTCAGAAATATTTTATTGTTCTCCAGTAGGTTTGTACCAGGCTGTAGTATGTATGTTATTCAAAATGCAAATTTAACATTCTTCTTTTCTGAAACACAAGTGTAAGTAAGAATATAAAACCCTATAATATAGAATATAAAAGTAGATAAATAACAACTTTGTGCTTCATAATTTAAATAATTTTAAGAAAAAATAATGATGAAAGCATTTTGGGAAGATTTGCATGTTTTTTGTTTTTTGCAGTAGACTCTTGGCTGATGTTAAATTTTGTTTAATAAAATTAAGACAAAAAAAGAGTGTTATTATTACTGCCCAGTTGTTAGGTTTTATGCTAGTCTCTGTGGTGTTCTGGTATGCAAGTTGCTCACTTTGCAAATCTAGTGCATACCAAATTTGTCGCTAATATTACCTTACCACTTACACCTACTTAAACTTGTTTTTATGACCTACTTAAAACACCATTTAACCCACCGTAACATTTGTTCTCGGAGTTTTCCATGAATCTGGGCCAATAAGCTGAGTTTTTATTTAAAACTAACATTCCGTTGTGTTTAAGCCATCACCAAATTTACTTTGACAGCACTACTTACGACAGAAATTATAGCATATCCCTCAGGCAATAATGAAAGATTTCGTTATTTTTGTTAAAACCTAACTTGTGTTCCTCTCATGAACACAAGTGCCCTGATAGCAGTTATAGGTGGGGCGAGATGGCTGGAAGAGCAAAATTCAGGTGTTAAAGCATGAACAAAGAAAATGCTTTAGATTTAGCAATTGCTTTGTACAGATGCATGGCCCTGTTCTGTTCTCTTAGCAGGCCTGTTAAGGAGGCCTGCAGCAAATCTCTTGGCATGTGTTACCTCAAGTTGCAACTTATTATGGAGTACATCTGCATTTTTTTAAGAATTAATTGTTGAATCTGTAAGAATGGTCATCAAAATAAAGATCTGTAGTGTTACACTTGACGGTGCTAGCACGTTAGCACAACAAAGAATCTCTGAATATGTGAGAATCTAAGTAGGCATTACTAACAATACTTGCTAACATGTGTGTTTGTGTGTGTGTATATGTGTGTATGTATGTGGGTATACATACGTGTGTGTGTATATATATATACACACACGTACATATATATAAACATATATATACACACACATACATATATATAAACACCACATATATAAGTGTATAAAAATATTTGTTTAGAATTCCAGCTCAGTAAAAGTATGCTTCTTCTGAAAGAGGACATTCTTCCTTCCCTGTTTCTTAATGTTATGGCTAATGCTGTTATATTGATTTTAAGCTCTTGTGAGCACTGCTGCCGTTGCCCTTTCACAATATTCTCCTGCAGTGTGAAGCTGGACCTTTGCAGTGTGCAGGGAATAGAGAAGTTGGGTAGTGTTTGCACTTGAACTACCCATTTTGAAGAACATTGCAGTACAGTAACATGGTAAACAGGACTTGCATTAATTTCAGCTGCTTAAAATATTTATCTTGAAAATGAGCATATCTGTGTGCTGTAACACCACCAAGCTATTTTTAAGTCTTATGATTGTTTCAAAATACTTTGTTAAAATATTTTTTGAATGGGGAGGCCTTGCAATATTAGTGCACTGCTGGAAGGGGAATTTCTTCAGCGTGCTGCAGCCTGCCCTGCGGTGCAAACTCAAGACTCTGTATAATCTTTCAGTGATAGCAGTAGCTGAGCCAGTGCTCCAGACTGCTTGGATGAAACAGAAACCATTTAGGAAGCTGAATAAATTGCTTTCTGACTTTTATGCTTTGGAAGAACTGTCCTCCATGAATTATAGACAGCAAATATGTCTATCTCAGATGCTTTGTGATTAACATTGTTGCTATTTCTCACTTATGCGTGTGCGAAGTTTCCTGAGTCCTACTTAACTCAATTAGTAAATACTTTGAATTATAATGTTAATAATCTATAAAGTGCTTTGGACTTTGTTTAACAAATAGCTTTAATATATACTGTATGGCACTATTAATAAGTACAGTGACCTTGACGCGATGCCCTTGTGCAGTGTGTATGCTTAAGCTTGCATTTTAAAGCAGTAAATGCATGAATAATAATGCAGTAGTTGTGAGCCCCCCAGAGATACGACTCTCTTGGAGATGAGAATTGCCTGAACCCGCTGAAGTCTCTTTGGGCCTGAAATTGTTTGGTTTATGCTAGCAAAGCTGATGAGGAGCTCCCAGTAATGGCTTGAGCGAATAAAATTATAAGGGAGGGTGGAACGAACCTTCCAGGCCATGAACTGTGAGAAGATGGGGACTGAACTGGGTCGTCGTTACCTGACAGGCAGCTGTTCTCATGCTGCCTTCCTGACCAAAAGTTCTATTTCTCTCTGTAAAATAAACCCATTCCAGCACTTCTGGTATTCCCGCAAAGGTCTGCAATGAATAAATGAAAATCAATGTGTGTGGCTACAGTAGTTAGTGAATATCTTCTTGTCAAGACAGAATTAGTGACAAGTATTATGAAATAGTGGTGTATCTCTAATTATTTCCAGTAAGCATCAATTTTGCCTGGTTTTGTATAAACTAGCGTTGTACAACCATGTCAGCATTAGCTAGCATTGTACAACCATTTTTTTCCGATTTAATTTAAAATATTGTCATCTCCTAGATACTGTTATAAACTTGTTTTTTTTACCATAAGGTACCTTTAAAATTAAATTGTACATCTAATCTTGCTCATTCTTCACATCTTTAAAAATGAAGACATTTCTAAAATTTTTCTTGTGTTTCTATCAGCTTAATTGATATAAATGTATTTGTTAGGCTTTGATTATAGAATATTTCATTATCATATATTATCACAACATGCAAAAATACTTTGAATTCAATTTATTATAAGGCCTACTGTCAAGATGTCCATAGGCACTTTTGCATAGGTGCTCTCATAACACCCATGATATACTTCAGTGGATTGGATGTATTTATTTTGGAAAGGAAATGCTCTGCTCTGCTGAAAACATAAGCCTAATCGAATTAAAAGACTAATCAAACACATTAATGTATATGGTGTATTTCAGATAAAGAAACTTTCTGTGATTAGAATAGTGCTGCAGTGTTTGGAACACAACTACCATATAGAGAAATTTACATCCATATAAAATTTTAATGATACTTCAGATGTTCTTAACTGTCTGTATTTCTTAAATACCTAGTTTCATGAAGTAAAGCAATTTAGACATATAATCTGGAGAAGTGCCTTTAAAAATAGTGCTATGATAATGTAAAATAAACGTAGTGCAAACATTACCTAAATTCACACAAAAGTAATCACTTATTTGTTAGTGCCATGGTTCTGCACATTTTACTGGCATATTATATTGCTTGTATGACGAATTAATCCACTTAAGCTTTTTCAGGGAAGGATTCAAGCCAATGTAACTATATTTTACTTAATTCTGAAGCATTCTAAATAAATATTTAACATGTTTCTTTTAGGGAAGTAGAATATATTGGAAGGCTAATTAGAACTGTGTCTTTGCAGGTCGTGTGTATGCTGTCTTGTCCAAAAGAGAAGGCAGAGTGCTACAAGAGGAGATGAAAGAGGGGACGGATGTGTTTATTATTAAGGCAGTCCTGCCAGTAGCAGAAAGCTTTGGTTTTGCTGATGAAATCAGGAAGAGAACTAGTGGCCTGGCCAGTCCGCAGCTGGTGTTCAGCCACTGGGAGGTAAAAATATCTATTCACTCCATCTGTTTTGGGGATCTATTTCCTGTAGATGTGGCAGACTGGAATAATAAGGGGAAGAGGTTAAGTATTGGTCAAGTCTTTTGATAATTCCTTTTTGCAATGAAGAGAAATAGATAATTTTATATTGGTCTTTTTTGCCCTTTTTTGTTTTTTTTCTGATTTTACGCATGTGTATTTCAGAAAAAAAAAATATGTTTTGTTTGGATGCCTTTTTTTTTCTTGTTATGTTTTTTTCCCCAGATCTAAAGCAAGTGCTCCAGGAATTAAATTGATTTTTCAAAAAATATGACATTTTAAATAGGTTTGCTGGAAGGGCAGGGGGGAAAAATTAACAGAAAAACCTAACAGCAAATTTCTCTGTATATGGAGGATAACCTTTCAGTGATTAGAAGCCCTCAAGGTAGGTATTGTTTTGTACTTACATAGTCCAAGACAGCGTAGATTTCCATAAAAAAAGGGAGTTGATTTTAATCTTTCAAAGCTAGGTCTGGTGATAACAAGCAGAGATGTTTTCAGAATTGTTCCTTTTGGGTATCTTTACCACTGAAAGAAATGAGATGTGAAAGTGGGGACTGATAAGAAAAGTCATACGATGCGAGCTGCATTCTGTTTGGTTCCTCTACTTGTGGATAGTAGATTTTGAAGCCAGAAGAGGAAAAGCTTTAATTCACTGTTCCTTGTTCAAGAGAAGTAAGTCCTGCACTGTGGGACTCCTCAGAAGGCTCCATCAGAGGAGCTTAAAATGGGCTCAAGGGTAAGAGTGAGTATAAGCTTTTTCTTAAAAATAGTTGAGGTGTAAATTTTTTTAATTTGATGTTAGGACTGTATAAACTTTAGTAAATGGATGAGAAGGTCTTGTTTCATCTTCCGATTTATTTTGTTATCTCAAATGTCAAGTCTCTGAGTACAGATAATACAGTTTTTTCATTCTAGTAAAATCATCTGTGATTGCTAGCTATGTCTGTTTACCACTATTTTTCTCTGAAGTATGTGCTGTTTTTTTTTCACGTGGTGTGGATTCTACCTCATTTCCTGTAGTTAATTTGCCCTAATAATAGGTAATACTTGTTAAATACTTCCGCAGCAGTATTTTAGGGCTAGTTATTACTGTAACTGCCTCAGGAATTTTATGGGAATACCAGTGGAAAAGGAGGAGGATCACAGCAAACCACTTTTGAGTCATGTGCTATCAAAAGAGTTGGGAATCCCTGAAATAGTACAATTAGAAAAGTATATTTTGTCATCTTTGGTGATGGTAATCTTATTGGTTTTAAAAAGTGCAGTGGACTGGGGGATTAGTCCTCCTCCCTGAATATTAATACTGACTTGTGCCATCCTCTTATGGCACGTGAAGTTGGGTCATGCCGTGAGTTGTGGAGACAGTCAAGGTATAAAAAGATTGGTAAGTCTGACTGCCCAGAGAAACGGGAAAATGATGCAGAATAAATAAATAAAAAAAAAAAGTGAAGTAGAAAAAATGCATTGAATGGAAAAGAAAATAAAACGCTAGCAAACCCAAAGAGAGTCTATGCATGATGGAGAGAAAGAAAACAAAAATGTATGGGGATTAAGGTGTAAGTCAGTAACATCTGAGGAACCTCAAAGCAGAGTGTTGGCAATATTACATAAAGTATTTTTTTCTATATTGGATACACTCATCTGAAGTGCAGCTGGGGAGCTTTGGTGGCTTAACTGGCCTTTTGTCTGTACTGTCTCTGCTAATAGTGCCCTAAAGAAATACCAGTCAGAGAGACGTTAATTCCAGCTAACTGTTGTTCTGTGCCAGCTTCCTTAGGCTTTGCAACTACTGTGCTCCAACACCGAACAGAAACATAAACCCACTGCCTCAGTGACCAGACTGGGGCATATGTGGTCCCTATGTCACTTTTATCACTTTCACATGGAAAAAATGTTTGCGTGTAATCTCTGATACATCTAGTTCTGCTAACTCGAGCCGTGGTTTCTGTAGTTACCTGTATTCTGTGATTACCTACTAATTTCAGCTCACTAGCCTAGGTTCAAGTATAAGTGGCTTCTTTGGGCAAGCATTGTTTATTATCAAATGAGATTATACTTACCCCTTTTTGTACACTTTTTCTGAACTTGATTGATGGCAGAAGAAATATGACAATACTTTTTAAAAAGGCCAGAACTGAGCATCTTCAACTCATTTAGGAGGGAAAATCAAGTCCGGAATCAGACTTAAGATTGTCCATGAGAATATGGAAAAAGTGATTTGTATAGAACTTCTCCCTGGAACGTTAATGTTTTCGAAGCTGTTTTCAAATCCAGAATCAGAATCCTTTGATGAGTAATAGGAAAAGTCAGCATGAACTGTATTAGAGCACCACAGAGAGCAATTTGGACCACTGGCAACTTTTTCTAAAATTGACACTCATTAGAGATTTTAATTATAGTAGGGCTATAGTGACTGTAGTAGGAAAAGCAGTTGTGAAAACCAGTCACCTTTTCACCTGTTAGCAGGAAGGATTTTTTTTTTGTCACATTGAAAGTCATGTTCACGTATTTTTCTGACAAAAAAAGGCCTTTTACTAAGCTGCTAGCAATGTTGGCTCAGTGCAACAATGGCAGAGGGAGTGCATTTTACTCTCACATCATCAGCAGAATTGCTAAATAAGTACCATTTTCAGAATCTCTCCTGGTGGTGTGACAGAGCAGCCAGAAAAATAACTGTTTGTGACTCAGATCACATGAGAAATTTGTAGAACTTTTCTCTTTCTTGTTCTTTCTTGCTCTGTGTTTCCCTTCTGCTTTAAGCAAAATTACTAGATTTCATCAAGTTTTATTAGCCCTAGCAATATTATATTACTGATGAATTATCTTGATGCTTGGTATCTACATGATAAACACCAGCATTTATATGAATTCCAATTATTTAATGTGTCATTATGTAACATAATATAAGGTGAACTTGGGGTGATATTAAACTATTTTTCCTTACTGCTAAGAATTGAAAGGGAATGTGGTAGCTGCTTAGCTTTCTTTTGCATTTCACGTGTTAGGATACTGCCTATTAACTACATACTATCCAAGCCCTTTTGTGAAATTCTTAATTAAGTGTGTGCTTGTGGTCTTTTCTCTGTGTGCTTAGCTGATTACCTGGTACTCAGGACATGCATGTTTTTATGTAGATTTCTTATAACTTGTTCTTATCCTCATTTAACAGATGGCAAAAGAGTCATTTTTTGAATTTAATTTCTTTTCAATTAGTTAAATTTCATTGAATTTGCATGACTAAGGTATATTCAAAGGCATTAGCTTGGAATTAAATCAGTTTTTCATTCTTGTATTTAATTAATATGATTTATAGACAAGGCATACAGGAAGGTTAGTGACAGAGACTCCCTTTAAATTGAGCCATTTTGGTCTTGGAGGAAATTAAACACCATTTTTCTTATCCAGTTAATGGATGTATTTTGTATAGTTTAGATCACTCAAGTCCTAGAGGATGGGGTAATAATACATGTGTTGAGATTTGTCCTGTCAGTTACTGCTTTTTTTATTTATTGTTTTCCTGTCATTTCTTTATATGTAAACAATTCATGCTTGAACAATTTATTCCTGCCCGTAGTAGGTTACACCAACAGCATCTTTCAGTTTGGTTTCAGATTAAACAAATTATACAAATTATTTTTCCTTATGATATCCCTAAGCAAATGATAAGTGTACTTGGTTTGCTTGGCCATACTTACTTAGGTTTCAGTCTAAATTTTTTTTGAATACATTTAAAATACATAACTTTGGGGCAATTATGACCTCCTTTTTTCTTTTTTTAATCCTTAAATTAATGTATATTCCTTTAGTTTTGCCTGATCTGATTTCCTTTGTCCTATCCTGATTCTTTGTAATTATTTGTTGCACTCGATCATGCTATTTTATCTTAATCATAAGCTCCTTTGAGCAAGAAGATATTTGTGATTGCACAATACTTAGAATAATGGAACTCTAATCCCATTTGGGAGATCTGTATTATAGTAAAAGTAATGCGCATTGCTCTGTTCAGATACTGAGTGAATTCTCAGCAACTGTAGAAATTATCAAAGATGTCTGCTCGTTAAAAATTGTAAAATTTATTGCTTTCTTTTTAGTGCACATCTTTTAAATTGGGTTGTGATTGCCTGTTAGTTTAATTCTTTGGAGGGGGAGAGAGGATGGGGGGAGGCACTATAAACACATATCTTTATTTGATTTCTTTTTGAGTATTTAGAATAGTCTCTGGAATGTACTGTAAGACTATGCTGTGTTTTGAATCACTGAAAGTTTTTTTTATATATATAACATATATATACACACATATATACATATATATACGCACACACATATATGTATATGTATGGATAGGTGTGTGTATATATATATACACACAGACATATATTTATTTAACAATTCACTCCTGAGTCTAAGCCCTGTTACACTCAAATAGAAGTTGAAGGCTGAGCGTAGAACTTGCTGGATGAGATTTAGGCCTCCATTAAACAGGAAGCAGGGAAAGGTAATGAAGTCTCTGAGATTCTGTGCATCTGCACTAGCTTGATCTCTAACTTTGCATACATCATTGTGCCAGTGACAGTTTTGGCATGTAAATGAAATCTAAGAGCAACCTGCATCCTTTCAACTATGAAAGGCTCTTTATATTAGCCAGAACATACGGAGCTAATTAAAGGAGCAAATAAAACTGACAGTGATATGGCTTTAGTTTTCCCTCTCAATACATGTTTCTTAAATAATGAGGAAAAAATGTAATCGTAAAGCCACAGGCCTTTTTTTTCCTTTGTAATTCCCTAATCCCTGTTTGTAGCTACTGACTGAAGACAGAGCTAAGCTGATCTGTCAGAGACTGAGACACAAACAAGGATGATGCTTTGGAGCCAAAATGTAATTTCTTCTTAACACCTAGAACTGGGAAAGTTACTATGGAAATTTTCATTATTATGTTATTTGTTAGAAGAGGAGATATG